AGGGTGTCTTGGCCCTCAGAACAGATCTTACAGAGCTGGGAATGCTCTCCACTACTGCGGAGAGGACCTGTGCCTTGGTGGGGGAGAAGCACATAGGATTTGGGGTGTCCTCCCATGGTCACAGGTGGTTGTCAGTTACCCCACAGCTCAACTAAACTGAGGGGGTAGCTCAGGCTCCCTGCTTACAGGTTTTATTTTTTAGCTTGGGCAAGTCTAGAGTGTATGTGTGGCCAGTTCCCCCGCTTCTCTTGGTGCACCATAACTCCCCAAGCTCTTATAACTCTCCTAGTCCTTAAATTTCAAAAAGCATTTTTTGTGCACACTGCTGTTGTCATGCATCATTCAGAGTTTCTGCTGAGCTCTTTGCCTTTACCTGTTGTGTTCATCTAGGTATGTAACATACAAAATTTTGCTAGAATTGTGAGTTTAGACAATGCAAGTACTTGGACAACTACTTTAATTTTTTCAGTTTGAGATCTAGACCAGGGTAAAACTCTCCTCCTACAGCACAGCTTGAAACTTTTCCTGAAGGAAATACAATTTAATGTAATCTCAACGAGCGCGATATAGGGAGGAGTAAAACAACCAAAAAGTGTATGTACTGATATCGATGTGAAAAAGAGAGAGCTGAATAGAAATGCTTCAAAAGACTTGAGCTGTTTTGTGGGGGTTTTGGTGGGGCTTTTTTTTTTTTTTTTTTTTGGTCAGGAAACTATTATCAAAACCCATTTTGGATTTGTTCATCTGGTCTGTTTTGGTTCTTTTAAGATAAACTTAGGCTTTTGTAATCAGTGACCTCAGCACAGGAGTTTGAGCTCTGCTTATTGAATGAAGAATAGAAGCACAGTGTGACCTACATTTCCGTTCAGTCGGATGGGATTTGGGGTGTCGTGAGATACCAGCAGAATGCTAATTGTGAGCCAAACAAACTAGCTGGCTCCTATCTGGAGGATTTGCTTTCAGCCGAGGACATGTCAGAGATTAGTCTTGTAAAGTACTGAAGTGTCCATCAAGGTACCTCTTCAAATGTGACCAAACCCCACCACCTCACTGTGCAGGCTTCAGGAAGCTCCTGTTTGCAAAGTAGGATGTATTTTTGCTAGCACTACTATACCATGAACTAAACCTCAGGATTAAATAATTGTTCAGCTATTAACTGAGCAATGTGTGTTTGACACAATAGAGACAGCTAATACTGTAAAAAGAGGAGCTTCTAATCTAAATTAGATACGTTATTTGGGTTGAACTTCGTAAAAGATAGGATAGGAGATAAACAGGTAATGGGGGAGAGCAGGGAAGAGATGGAAAGGAGTTGATCATGGTTAGGTCTAATCAAAAAGTTCCTTGAGGAATTATGGGGAGAGAAAACAAAAGCAAGAATTCCCTTGAAAACACGTCTCTGAGTAAAAGCTAGAGAATCATATAGGCCTCAATCTTTTTTTTAATTTCTTTTTCTCCGCATTTTATTATTTGCATCCATGATAAAATAGAAGTGAGGACAACTGTACGATTGGAGGGTTTTTTTGGTGGGGGAGGGATTTTTTTTTTTATTAAGTATGAGAAGGTAGTGCTTTATCTCATTTTGTTCACTTTACTGGAGGATGACTTATTTTTGTGAGGCAGACAGAAAAAGAGATACGAAGGGGAACGGAAAATCTTAGGAAGCTGAGGCACTTCCTCTGCGGAAGGAGGGGGATGGTAGATTTTCCATAAAAATTTTCAGAGGTCTAATTAAGAGTTGCCTTTTGGAGATACCAACATCTTGTTAGTTCTGCTTTGTTATTTGTATAAGCGACTTAGATATGGTTTTTGTTCTGACAAGTTACATTCTGGGAGAGCAAGGAGGAAAGACAACAGTTAAATCAGCATTGGAAAGCTGGTTGAATGAATTGCCTCGAGGGATTTAAGAAGCTGCAGAGAGAAAAGGATTTCAAAAGGCAGCAAAGACAGATGTTTGAAGCTGAGTAGAAGGTGTTACCAGCTTCTGTGCTAGGCATCAGGCACCAATGCATAGCTCAAGCTTTGAGATTAAAAATCACAGGGCAGCCCTTTTCCAAAGTTTGTCTATGAGATGGGATGTGAGGAGAGGGGCAGCTTTTGGCATCTAGACCCTGCATTACCTGGTAGCACCCATAAGCACTGTTTTGACATTATGATTAGTTCAAGTCTTCACAAGGATTTCCAAAATAAACCTAATCCTCTGCTGGAGAGAGGAAAACTGGAATTTTGGGACATAAAGTGAAATTCTGGGAGGGAACGTATTTCTCACAGCCCCAGTCTCCCCCACCTCGATGCACTGACACCCCAACTCCCACGTCTTCTCAAGACTCAGTCTTGCCAGGTTCCTTTTGACCATATTCTCCTCTAGCAAGGTGCTTGGTACACAGGTTCAACTCCAGGCGTTTCACAGTAGCTGACTGCCATGCTAGTCTGTTAGGTCACTTTGTTCTCATAGCCTTTCTAATGTATTCAGTGCCTTGACAAATTTTCTTGGCAAGAGCTTTATAAAATGATACCATATTGTGCATAACTTAACATGCTGTTAAACATCAGAACATCTTCTACCATACAAGTCCTGAAGTCCATCACTAAGCTCAGAAATCAGAACAGCTCCAATACTTGAGTGCTGTTCGTATGGAACAATAAATGGTACGAAGGCAGTGATTTTTGTAAGGAGTCACTTTTGTCTCTATTTGTCTTCCACTTTTTTTTTTTAAATGGGATTGAAAACAGCAGTATCAGTGAGGAGACTGATCAGCTAAGCTGAATATTGATTAGCTCCTGATATGACAAAACTACACTTTCTGTGCTGCTGCAGTATTTTAATCATGCTCATAGCATTTCAAACTGAAGGGGTGTTGGTCAGCTGATTTAAATGCTTTGGTATTTGTGCCTCCCCGCCCCCGTTTCTGAATATATGCTTCCATTTTTCTTAATGTCAAGAAAACGTTGAGTTTTCAGACTGGAAGCTTGTTGTGTCTCAGTGTTTGATCTCCAGTTGCTCAAAGGTTAGGCGCTACAGGGGGTGAGTGGTTAAACTGTTCACAGATGCCTTGCAACTAGATGCTCCTTCATCTCTGCTCTCTCTGTGTTTCACAGAATAATTTTATCCACAGTTGGTGTTTATTTACAGGAAATACTTGTAAACAACTGGTGGCATTGTGCATACAGATGTCAGACTGCAGCGTGTGACATTTGGCACTGTAAGGAAACTTTCAGTTTCTGAAAGCAGTTTATTGTAGTGGATGCACATTTTCTTAGAAGACTGTTTTTTCTAATCAGAGGCAGGAATACTTATTTGCATGTCACACTATCATGTTGCTCCTCAAAAATCAAAAGAGAATAAATTACCTTTAAGCAAGGCTGACACGGAATTGACATTTCAGCAAGAGCAGGCAAGCTGGGGCAGCGTCCCCTGCAGGCCTGCCTTTGGTTTTTGTTTTCGTTTCGACAACCTTTAGCAAGTGTTTTCCTATTATGTAAAAATTTTACTGTAATGAAAACATTAGAGATCAAGAAGTCAGGTATGTCTTGAACTTGCCATCAGGATTATGATGTGCCTTCAAGCTGTTTTACTTTCTGGGGAGGCAGCAGTTGTTTTTAAAGACATTGCGTGCCTGATGTGTGCCTGATGTAAAGCTCAGTGTTTGTCCAGTAGTGGAAACGCTGTCTCTGACTAGCAGTCAACTTGTTAGGTGACTCAAACCTCGTAGTAAAGAGGAGTGGTTAGATAGTATTTGTGGAGGAAGACATGCTTGCATCAAAATGGCAAGGTCTTTGCTTGGTTGGAACAAGACATGGTCCCGGCTTGCACAGGTTTTCCCTGTGTGAGCCCAGGACTGTCAAAGCACGTTTCTTGACCATGGTGTCAACTGATGCAAAATTAGTCAGTTTGTGACGAGATTCTCATGTAGAAACTGGAAAATGTGTTTGAACGTGGCTGTTCTGAGATGGATGATAGTGACCACAGTATCTTGGATAATGCAAACTTCTGGTTAGGGTTTTTAAATGTTGGTGGTGGAACAGCTGTTATTTCAGCTTCATCACTGATGAAAGGAAGATGAGCAGTTGTGGTGCAAGTCTCAGGATACCCTTGACAGTTCAAAACTTGTACTGACCTCTTAGTGCGGGTTTCTGCATGCCTCTGCAGCTCTTGGTGCAAATCTTCTGCTCTCTACGCTGCAGGTGGGACGGAGGTGTGAGGGTTTGAGGTGGGGTTTTTTGGGGGGTGGGGGGCGTTATATTGTTCTGCAGTACTAGATGGGTGTATTTAGTATGCATCTCTCTGTGTTGCTGTGGTACAAGCAAGCTTGACTTGCATATCGGAATATAAGGCAAAGCCTTTCCTTTGTATTTTTGTCACAGCATTTCTAATATATGCCCTTTAAACAGACGAATAGCAGTTGCATATTTTTCTGTGCCTATAGCAGTAATAGCTTTTTAGATTTATAGCAGGTATTTTGTTTGTGCGATACTTGGAACTTGACAGAATGCACACCCTTAGGCAACAGATTCATTATTCACTGTAGCAGAGAGGCTGGCAGGTAGAAAAGCAACTGGGAATCTCATGTTTCAACTAGGTGGCATAAGTGTTATCAGCCTTGACCATCAAGTAGTGCCTTTAAAGAAAAGTATGGTATGCCTAAGGGTAAAATATGCTCATGATACCACTGGTTCTTATTCACATAGTTCTGTGAAAAATGCTTGTTATGCCATGTGTAGGTGTATGGAAACAAACGAGTATGCATGTGTGTATGTATGTATATGTATGTGTGTAAGAAAGTCAGGTATTTTAATTCGGTTGGTATTTGCAATACTTCTGGGCTATAGTTCCATTACATCTTGAGTCACATATGAGATACAGATGGAGGCTTCTGTGCTTTGCTAACTTGGACATGTCCCTTGTTTTCTGCCCGCCCCGACACCCCCCCCC